CATAGATATAAGGCTATATCTCTATAATATCTATGTCTGTCTTATCCTTTATTTTTAAAGTGAGGTATATTATATTTGTATTTTAAGTGACCAACTTACATTTATGTCAATGACATCTTTCAACTCCTAGGTGATATATTGAATGTTAGAACCTTAGCACCTCACACATGGATGGCCCATAATTAATTTGCATCTTCCCTACATTATTTCAAACAGTGTTGCGGTCGACATCCTTATTAGCACATACCTTTCTGTACTAGTACTTTTATTCCAAGAGTGGATTCCTAGAAGTAAAATTGATTGATGTGCATTTAAAATTTAAATAGATACACCAGCTTACTTTCCCAAAAGGTCATAGTGTTCCTAATCCGCAGCAGCCTCTGAGCATGCATATTTCCTGCAGAATTTAAAAGATTTATAGATTTCTAGGGGTGGCCCCAGCTTTACTGATTTAGCATCTCTGGGAGTAGAGCCCAAGAATCTATATTTTTTGGAAACTCCACACGTGCTTCTGATGATCTTCCCCATTTGGGAGGCCCCAGTCTAAGGCCGAATTAGTTGAAACAATAAATTAGTCAAAAACAAACATTTTTCATCTAACACCTTTCACAGCCTGTTTGGCCATTGCAATGCTGTGTTAGTGTAGACTGAGCCCCAGTAACAAAGAGTCCCACTATTTTAGTTGCCTGAAACCATAGGGGTTTATTTCTCGCTCACTCAGTAGTTCGGGGTGGGTCTTCCTGGTGAGTGGGCATCTCTCCTTGCCCCCAGAGTTCAGGGTCTTCCAGTATTGTGGCCCCACCATCCTGCAGGGCCTCAGGGTCCTCTACCTCCAGCTCACAGAAGGGGAGAGAGAGAATATAGAGGAGTACACCAGTTCTTCCCGGCCCTGGCCTGGAAATGGCCGACATCACTTCCTGTCACACCCTATTGGTCAGAACCTGTCACCGCAAAGGAGGCCGGGAAATGGAGTCGGCAGCGGGCTTGGGGCACACCCAAGACTAGCGTTCAGATGCGAAATGGGCTTTTCATAGTGGAATGTAAGCCCTTCGGGGCAGCCTTCCAGCACCAGCAGGACTTTCCACAGGCGCAGGTGTGGTTAGGACCTGCCCGGTCCCTCAGCTTCACTAACTGTAACTGCAAAGCCTTTGCCTGAAAATGAATTTAAAAAAAGAAAGCAGGCAAAATCAACTCCACAATACAGCAGACAGCCATTAGAGTCACCCTACTGCACACAGAAGTTATCAGCATATGAGGTAGCAGCTGGAAATGTTCATTTTGGATTGATTTGCTTTAGAGATGTTTTCTTAGAGCTGAATCAAAATTAATAACTCCAAGATAATATTTCTACATAAGCACAGTATGGGAAATTGAAAATTAGAAATGCTAATTCGTTATATACTGGCCTTTCTTTCTTATTCTTCTTACAAAAATGGGTTCATACTAGACATGTTCTGCATCTTGTTCTTTGTTTTTTTTTTCACTTAGCAATACACACTGAACATCTTTTTATGTAGGTCCTCATAGATGTGCCTCCCACCTTTTTAAATCTCTGTGTGGTGTGCCCAGTAGATATATGCATGTTCCCACCGTGGTGGGCAGATGGAGAGTTGCCAGGGTTTGGCTTTTTCATATGGTACCATGGTAAATATCCAGATACGCATGGCTTTGTGCATTCACTCCAGGATAGCTGAGGGCTAGGTCCAAGGACCTGCACTGCTAGGCCACGGG